TATACATGTATACATATACATACATATGTGCATATATATTTTAAGAAGTAAATATATAGATATAGATATAGATATACGTACATGCAACAGGAACAACGAAGGGAAGGCCAAAAAAAAAAAAAAAAAAAAAAAAAAAACACGAATATGCCTATATTCGTGTGTTTTCTTGTTCTTCCCTTCGTTGTTCCTGTTGCAATCTGTTCATCATGAATTCCACATATACGTGCATGAACACGTGATCACCGGTTTGCCTTTATAACCTTTTACACTACATGACACATATCTATCTATCTATCTATCTATCTATCTATATATACTATATATATATATATATATATATGTATATATATATATATATATATATATATATATATATATATATATATATATATATATATATATATATATATATATATACACACATACACACATATAGATATACATATACTTATGTGTATGTATATATACACAAACAAATCAGGGCACATTAGGTAACCCATAATGAATCAAACAGGATTAATTATTCAGATTTTATTATGAAGAATCAACAATCTCTACCATTACAGACGGCAAATCAACTGACAAATCGACAAACTCTTCTGGAAACAAGGCTGCAACCATACACACACACATACACACACATACATATACACACACACACACACACACACACACATACATACACACACATACATACACACACATACACACATACATACACACACACACGCCGGAATGACGACATCTGACGCTCATTCTGAACCATTGTTATCTCAGAGGCAATCGAATCTTCTGGAATTGTCTGTTAACCTGAAAACGAGAAAAGAACAAATGTCATAAGGCCATTATTTTATATACAAAATGATAAACCCGAAAAGTATTTATTTTCAAAATTGAAAGCATATACTCAAAATATCGAATGGATAGCAGACCATTCCAAAACCAGATCCGACACAGATTTCCACATTTATGTTCACTTTCCTCCCTCACCCCCCAGAAAAAGTAATAATAATAATAACAAATAAACCTACCATGATTTTCTCAGTTATCCGATCGTTACCACGGCAGAGTACAAATTGTCCCACAGCAAGCACCAGTCGGGCAGCATTTTTTAGCACCAACACAGTCGAAATCCGAGCGGCAAGTCACGTGACCATTGTGATCACGTGGGAAGTCAGCGCGACCGCCAAGGGAAACCGGGCTGTTGGCGGGATAATCGAAATATTAATGATATAATGTTTATGATAATGCTTGAATGTTGATGAATTTGTTTATGATAATGCCAGAATGTTGATAAAGTTGATGTTGAAAATAGTGCTAGATTAACAATAATGTCAGTATTTTTTATATTAACATTAGCATAATTTTTACTTCTGGTGTTCATGACCATAAATTTATAATTTTTTGTTTATAATTACAATGTTAGATTGTTAGCAATGTTGGTGTTTATAATTATGCTGTTAGATTAATAATGATGTTCGTGTTTATGATAACAGCATATTTTAAATTCTGATGCTCATGATAATAATGCTAGAATGTTGATAATGCTGTTTATCATGATAATGTTAGAATATTAATGATGTTGGCGTTTATGATTGTAGTGTTAGATCGTTAATAATGTGTTTATGATAAAGTTCAAAAGGTTAAGACACAACTATGGTAATATATATATATATATATATATATATATATATATATATATATATATATATATATATATCCCACTAAGCAACGAACAAACAAACATGACTAAAAACATAATCCTCTTGGCGGAGGTAATAACGATCATGATAATAAAGATGATTATGAAATGATAGTAGTAATAATAATGCACTAGTGGTAGTAGTAGGAATGATATTAATATAGTTTTTATCAAAATTATCATTATCACCATCATTATCGCCGTCATACCACCACCATCATCATTAAAATTAGCATTATACATCATTATCACTATCATTACCATCACGGTCTCACTGGGGTCACCACCCCCCCCCCCTTCACAGCGGCTTATAAAGATTTTCCAAGATCTGCGGCTGCATGATGTGATGATAAAAAAGATAGAAGCAAAAAATATATAACAAAAATTGCCAGCAACGATAACAGTGATAATGATAGTGATGGTGAGGGTGAAGATAACAGTGGTCTAAAGGCATGATAACGAAGACATTAATGAATGATACAGACAATTATGGCCACAGTTGTCTATTAAAATTGCGACAATAATAGTTTCGTTGATGGTAAAATAGTGCCAACAGTAGAAAAATGACATAAAAATATTTTTCCTATTACTCTTTTACTGCCTTCAGCCAAACGAACACGGATAGGCATAAGAATTAAAAAAAAAGGAATAATGATAACAAAATACGAATAAGAAAGAGAATAGAACAAAGAAGAAATATCCTACCCGTCTAGGTGAGGCGGAGGAGGAGCAGGGAATAACGGGCAAGATCCTGGCTTCTGGCTGCCTGTAGGACCCGCCTGTCCGGTGCTCGTCTGGGGAGAGCACGAACGCCGGCAGAGTTAGGAAAGGGGATCAGAATAGGTGCAGTGGATCCTATATCCATGGTTGATAGATTCATGACATTCCTGATCGATTAAGAAGTAGACATACGCACATGTGAATCTACGTGCACACTCGTACAGACAGACAGACACGCGCGTACATGTACAACATAAAAATACACATAATATACATTACACATGAATAAATACATGAAAAACTAATGCTAAAACGCGAAAAATACAAAACACCAACCATCATAAGTATCACGGCGACACACACCACGCAGCCACTAATTCCTCGAAAAGTCATCATGGAAATCCCAACCAACTGTGCCGGATGAGCAAGCGACGTAGGACGGATCTGAACTGAAGCATCAAGGGGCCAAGCGCTGCCCTTTTATCCACCGAGGAGCCGGTGTTATGGCGCAAAGGGTCGTTGTTGCGAAACCGTAAGTTAGGAAAAAATGGAGTTTACTTGTCTGTGGTTGGACAGAGATTTATGGACAGATCTTAATGACTGATAGATAGGCAGAGGATAAATTGAAATGAATGGCTGATACTTCACAGAATATTTTATTAGGAACATAGATAAGTGGCTATTCACACGTTTAAAATGTTATAGTGAAGCAAAGATGGTTCTATAGAAAGTCCTAGTGGTATAGATAAAACCATTTTTTTTTTTTTTTTTTTTTTTTTTTTTTTTGTCGAGGCGAAGAAGCAATTGGGAGGCCGGTGAGCGTGTGTGAATAAAGCCGTTGAATTTCAAATGATTATCCTCACCAACCACCCAACTGTTAAATAATTATCATCTTACTTGCCTGTCACCAGTCATCACTAACTCGTATCGGTTAAAAAGAGTGGAGCATGGGTACTCGAGGAAAAACAAATTCACCGTTTCTTGTCAAAATGTTGTCGTTTCTCCCGTCAAAGTTATGATGATGCATATATTGTTCATAAATATTTATGTTTTCTGCTTGTTTACTTGCATACACTTTTCCAATAAAAAAACATTTTTGTTGCTATAGCAATGGACAGAATTAGCAAATGCTAAACCTCTAAATTTATTTGCTTATTTTTCTTGGAAATTATGATAATTTTGTTAAATATTTTCTATAGTGCTCTGGAGACCAAAAAAACAAGATTTTTTTGAGTAAACATTAAGATATATATATATATATATATATATATATATATATATATATATATATATATATATATATATATATATATATATATATCACTTTACTATTCAGTCAACACAAACACAAACAAAAGCAGCGCAAATTCCAAATAACGTTTTATTACTCAATAAAAACAGGAAACACACTTGACTGTGTAACAGCACATTTGACCTCATCTCTGTATCGGCGGAGCTATCAACGAGCCACGTGTTGAAATGGAGAGGCTGTTGCCGATCAGAGGAGGTCAGGATTAGGCTCAATACATATCCTAGCCGAGGCTCCAGCGGGACAGCACTTCAGGGTGAGTGGACAGTCGAGGTCGGAACGGCAATGCTTGCTGCAAGGAAGAAAGATGGGACTCAAAACAGGTGTCCACTATACCCTGATCTAATACACTGATACATGAACCATTGTTATGATGTGCGAACTTGAAAATTACATTAATTTGCATTCCGAATGTCACATATTTGATGTAATAATTTATACGCCATGCAATAAAATAAATAAATAAAAATAGAAATAAATCGTATGCTTACATGCCAGGTATGTCGGGGGATTTGAGATCGGGGCATCTGCCAGGCTTTGCTCTAATGGCACCCGTTCCACAAACAAAACTTGCCTAAGAGAAAATATAATGTATTAGTATGTATACCTGTATGAATATTCTTGTTTATATTTATATTATTAAATATATACATACATGTGTATTTTTACATGCAGTGTATTACATACATGTACAAGTGCGCATGCACACACACGTATGTATATATAGATGTGTGTGTATATATGTATGCATGTATGTATTTATGTATATGCACATATATATGTATACATGTGTATATATATAAATTTATGTATATATGATATATATCTATATCATAACAAGCCCATATCTCACCATCAGCAGCGCAGCCAGAACAAAACACGAGCGCAGTGCGAACGAGGCCATTTCACAGACGAGAAGCAGAGGTCCCTCTTCCACCGCAGACTCGACGCTCTGTGTTGGCAGCAGCGGCGAGCTGGACTTAAATATTGTGTCGATGATCATTAGGAAGCAAAGCAAGTATTATCATTCATGCATTGTGCCCGGAGGCTCCCACGTGCAAGGGATTTCCCAGATGGAAACTGCAAATCTTTCCGTATTTTTTACTGTTTTTTTTTTAACATGTTAACATACATATATAATACATGCATATATAAGTACATATGATTATATTTATACACACACACACACACATGTATATGTACACACACAAATCCGCATACATTCTCTACTTCATTAGGACGTGCGAATAAATGGGAAACACATCGAAACAGTCTCGGGTTTTATTTCTATTTCATCTTTATCACATTACCTCCTTTCTGTTTTGTTCTTAATAAGGAACGTTGACTTAATCCTGCAGTTAAATCACGTACCTTCTAAATACCAGGAATTAACCACATAATCAATGCTGGCTGTATCAAAAGGCTATTAGGTGACTAGACAATTAGGAGATTAGGCAGTTAGGTGTTTAACTTTTCCCTATAAAAGAAAGACTTAATTGCACAGTACAGCCACTGTAGCGATGTATCAGTATTTAAAGCTTTAATAAGGTGAATGCATCAGTAATTAAAACTTTAATAAGGTGAATGTATCAGTAATTAAAACTTTAATAAGGTGAATGTATCAGTAATTAAAACTTTAACAAGGTGAAGAAATTTAAAGACAACAAGCTGGTTCTTTTGTAGACAGAATCGCAATGATTGTGATCAAATTTCCTGTCTTAAGATGTCAATTAAGAAGTAAAAAACAGGATAATAGTACAAATGATAATTAGAACAACAACAACAATGATAGTGAGGATGTGATAATGATATGAGTATTATGATAATTATCATTATTATTATTGTTCTTATCATAATGTTGATGTGATAATTATAATTGCTATTGTCATTAAGATTGTCTTATTACCATTAGTTAATCATTATTATTGTTATTATTAATAATATTATCATTATCATTGGTGTTGTTACTGTTTTATTATCATTGTTATTATCATCTTTCTTATCATAATCAATATTATTATCATCAACATAATTACATTTACTATTATTATCATCATTATTATCATTTCGTTTTTTCTATCATTATCATATTTTTATTATGATCATTATTATTGCTCCTGTTAGCACTAATGCTGTACTAATTGTTGCTATTATTATTGTTGTTGTCATATTTGTTATTATCACTGTTATCATTATTAGTATTATCATTATTACTCTTATTACCATTATCACCATTATTATTGTTATTACAACTATTACGCTTACTATCACTATTAATACTACTAATATCATTATTATTATCATTAATATCATTCTCATCCTCATCCTCATCCTAATTCTCGTCCTCCTCATCATCATCATCATTACCATCATCTTCGTCTCATCATCATTATCACCATCATCACCACCATCATCATCATCATCATCTTCATCTTTATCTTTATCATTACTATCAATAATCATCATTACTATCATCATCACTATCTTTATTATCATCACTATTATCATTACTATTATCTTTATTATCATCACTATTATTGTTACTATTATCATTATTATCACTATTATTATTACTATCATTATTATCATCACTATTATTATTACTAGTATCATTATTATCATCACTAATGAGCCATTTCGTTTTTTGTCTGATGAGGAACTCGAGAAGAGTTCGAAACGTCACGCTTATTCTCAATTCTCATTGTGGCTAGTTTCATTTTCATTTTTGTTTTCACGTGATTGTGTTTGTGCTTGTGTTGATATATATATATATATATATATATATATATATATATATATATATATATATATATATATATATATATATATATGTATGTATGTATGTATGTATGTATGTATGTATGTATGTGTATATATACATATATATGCATATATATATGCATATATATATATATATATATATATATATATATATATGTGTGTGTGTGGTGTGTGTGTGTGTGTGTGTGTGTGTGTGTGTGTGTGTGTGTATATACATATATTACTTATACATATATATGCATATATATATGCATATATAATATATGCATATATAATACACACACACACAACACACACACACAAACACACACACACACACACAACACACACACACACACACACACACACACACACACACACACACACACACACACACACACACACACACACACACACACACACACACATATATATATATATATATATATATATATATATATATATATATTATATATATATATATATATATTTACATATATGCACCATACGTGCGCACATCTATGCATATATGTCTGTATCCAGACACAGGGTAGTAAAATCAAACCAAGAGAATGACACGCACACTTTACTCCACCATATACAAATCCCTCCTTTAATAACAGTGATAAATAAGATGAACCGTATTCATGTTGACAAATGTGGAAAGGTATGAATGAGAACGAATATCTTCACAATACAAGAGATGTATTTAACCAGTTTCGATTATATCTTCGTCAGAAATACACGTATTTCTGACGAAGACATAATCGAAACCGGCTAAATACATCTCTTGTATTGTGGAGATATTCGTTCTCATTCATACCTTTCCACAAGTGAGAAATAACTACATGGTTATCCTCTGCTGGTAACTCTCATGGCGATGATTTCGTTCCATCCTTCGGGTGTGTAGCAACTGGTACCAAATCCGGCTTGATTCACACAGCAGACATGGCCCCTCGCGCAGTTGTAGTCGCTGTCGCACTCGCAACGGGGACGTGAATTGGCGGGA